AATAATGAGAAACGGATGCGCGAGCGTCCGACCATTTAGGACCGCACACTGATGAAGATAAACTCAGACCAGAACCAGACTATGGAACATCATACCAAGAACATTATCGTACTGTTCATTGACGTCATTTTCCCCATACAGCTCGAACGTACTAATACCTTTGGCACGCTAAGTTCGACGACATGTTCAGACAAGTAAACACGACGTGATTTAACACAGTATCTGTATACAGGCAGCCAACGGACCAAATATGGAAACTTCGGAATGAATAATTAATCATCACTCCTGTCAATCATTTGTGATTGACAGCATGGCCGGTCACGTTTTAGAACATTCCAAATCGTGATCCAGCTGCGCCATATGATTTGGAATACAACATGTGGAATGCCTGCTGCATTCCAAAACGTGGTCCATTCCAAATCATGATTTGGAATAACACGTTTTGGAATGCAACATATGCCTTCCCTATCAATACTGGAGGATGAGGCGGTGCTAGCTGTAATATACATCCTTTTCTACAGGCATTTACACATTAGCCATAAGATCTACAACATTGATACTGATGCAACTGCCTATCCAATACTTTTATGTTTGATGCTTTAGGCAACATTCAAGGTATTCAGTGAATGTTTCTACTGCCATACCAACTTGGCTGTTAAGAATTATTGCCTGACAGTCGAAGGCTTAATGACCTACGCATTCCTGAATACATACTGATAAATGACTACGGCCATATGCTTTATAATAAGTTTATTGCACTTCTCAGATTTAATCAGGCAACTTTCATATCGACACTACATAGTGTACGTTTTTATGTGTACATTGAACTTTACCGTAGTGAACTTTACCATGTATATGCTCTTCCCTTCTTGGCAAGGGCACTCGTGCTCTTTTCTCATTTATCACTGACAATGAATGATAAATTGTTAGTCAAGTATGAAGGACTCACGAAATAGAGTGTTGGCTTGCACATTAACGCACTATAGTTGTAGGACTGTAATATGCTTACACACACACGCGCGCGCGCGCGGGCGCGCACACACTAACACGAGCACACACACACATACATACACACACACAAACACACACACACGTATATATGATGCTTCTTTACATGGCAATATCATGTTTTGACACGTTGTGTTATGTTACATTAAAGTTATATTACATTATGATATGTAGGCGCACGATATATTGCGCTGTAATTCCCTTTGTTAGCGTGTAATCGTTATCCTTAAGTGCACTTGACCTTGTACCCAGTGACTCATCTATACGTTTTACTTGATGAACATCAACAGAACGACATTTTCTGCCTCCCGATATTCACCATAATCACGATACAAAGTACATAAGTTACAACCACAAATCCTCCCTAACAAAGACTAAACAAACTCCAAATTAACTGATGGTATCAACGCCTGTATTTTACGGCAGATGTGCACAGAAGCTATAATTACGACCATCAGTCTCCGTGTAGGTGAGTACGTGGGTAATAAACCTGACGCCGGGGGATTAGACGTGATGATTTCCTCCGACGGGCACATAGCGGGGTTCCACGCGAGGATACCGACAGCTTCATTCGCGCTGACGGTAGCCCCTCATGGGCATGTGAGACAGCAATAAGACTGACTACATTGTCACCGTAGCTTAAGGAGTCAACATACACCGAACATCAAAGTCTTTATTACCCCGTCAACAAGTCGCTATTTTCTAAGAGCAGACATTTCTTACGCATCGTAACTTATGTACACCCACTACCATTTACCCTTACCGTTCTTTTTGAATGTCGAACCTGCAAAGTATCATTGCGGTAAAGTTTTTGGCCAAAACTTCGACTTAGGGACTCTTCTGTTTACTGTTAGGCAAGTGCTGACATTGCAGTTCTTGACAAGAGTCAGTTCTTTTACTCTCCAAGCAGAGGTTGATGGTGGAAGATCGTTTGCTTTTTATATATATGGCCTTTTTTGTCGCTATCACCACTTGGGTGGGGAAATGGTTACAGACTGGCCAATTTGATACTGTCTTACCCCCACCAAAAGATCTGCTTGGAGATTAAGTTCTTT